GAGATGGGAAGTACAGTGCCTGCACTCTGAAGGAGGGGTGTTAATGTTGCAGTTTAAAAACTGTAGTGTAAAGCACCCTTCTGGCAAGACAGTGATGGAGTGAATGATGGTGAATGTTTTTCTTTTTCGGGCCACCCTGCCTTGGTGGGAATCGGCCAGTGTGATAACAATAAAAAAAAAAAATATATATGTATGTATATATTATATTAATATAATATATATATATATATATATATATATATATAAATTATATATTTATATATATATATATAAAATATATATATATATATATATATATATTTATATATATATATATATATATATATACATACATATATATATATATAATATAAAATATATATATATATATATATATATATATATATATATATATTTATATATATATAATATATATATATATATATACATATATATATATATATAATATATATATATATTTATATATATATATTTATTATATATATATATATATATATATATATATATATATATATATATATATATATATATATATATATATATACATACATATATATATATATATATATATATATATATATATATATATATATATATATATATATATATATATATTATATATATATTAAATAATGTAGGGAAGTACCACCTCTACGGCTGGACTGGGGACCCTCATCCTCAGAGAAGACAATAAACGTACTTCAGGGAAAACTCAAGGTTCTCCCCGGAGCTGTTTGAATATTTTCTTCTCCTACCACCCCCTATATTTGATATTCTTTGTGAACATTTACTAGTAAACAGAATACATTTACAGAAAAACATAAACATGAATACAATGGCACAATGTATCAAAGATCATGAATTTCCTCCAGCTCCTCCGAGGCTGGACGCGAGCCAAGTATGCAGCAAGTATTTCCCCTCTGGATGGCTATGCTGAGGCGCTGGAACATGAAAGTGGCTGCCCTTGGGTCCCTGGTGGTGTCGATGAGTCTGGAACCCAATTCTTTAAGGAAACGTGTAGCATTTTTCCCCATGATCCCAAGGTCTCTGATCCCACTGGGACAAATTGATACTGTTGGCTTATGTCCCTGTACTTGCTGATCTTGTACTCCTCCCTGTGGTCAGCAGCTCCTCCCTGTCGCCCCACACTGTGATGGATATAGGTGTCAGCCAGTGTGGACACACAGGTATAGCCCCATGCTAAGAGTTTGCCATTCTTCCAAGGATAGATGGTGATCCCTTCAGGGCAGTTTGCTGGGTTGTGGGTATTGTTGGCTGCTAGCGATCGGGGCTCCCTCTCGGCTGGGCATCCAGCTGTGTCTTGCATGCCAGCCCTTGGTTTTGGAACAGTTAAGACCATGTAGACCGTATTGGTCTCCTTGCGCTTCGCCACAAATACACGTATATTCTGTGTGAATTGGGGCAGCAAGGCGCAGAGCCACTGCAATACGGAGGATCTTAGGGTCGAGTCGCGTTCCCATTGCCGATATGGGAACTGTTTGGAGGAAGTCCCCGGAGTGAGGTGCGCTCACAGTCTGGAGATGGGTAATCTCCTTATCTGATGTTGCAGCCCTGAGCATGTTGGCAAGCACCTTTTCAGCGATCGGGCCATATATATATATATATGTCGTGCCGAATAGGCAGAGCTTGCGATCTTGGCTTAAATAGCAACACTCATCTTGCCATATAGGACAAGTGAAAATTTGTGTATGCAATAATTTCGCCAAAATCATTCTGAACCTAACGAAAAAAAATTATTTCACTGTGTTTGTTTAGTATTAAATTATTGTAAACAAATCTAAAATATATTTAGTTGGGTTAGGCTAAAATAAATTGCGCTTGTTATAATAAGGTTAGGTAAGTTTTCTAAGTTCCTTTTGGTGCAAAATTATAAATTTTTACATCAACATTAATGAAAAAAATATATCTTTAAACGTATAAGAGAAATTTTTAGAAAGGACTTAATTTTAAATGAGTTCTTGTTAATTGACCAGTTTTACATATTCGGCACGACATATATATATATATACATATATATATATATATATATATATATATATATATATATATATATATATTATATATATATATATATATATATATATATATATATATATAATATATATATATATATATATATATATATATATATATATATATATATATATATATATATATATATATATATATATATATTATATATATATATATATATATATATATATATATATATATATATATATATGGATTCATTTAATTTGTAATAAAATACTTTGGGATTATTAAACCAGAACTTATTAATTAAACTATAATTACGAGTTCGAGAAATAATCATATCAAACATAACTTGTATTAACGTTGGTAGAATTGCCGAGAATATGTTAGGTGAAAGGACACAAGTGCAACTAATGTGACATTTTATTTTGGCAACGTTTCGCTCTCCAGGAACTTACCCAAACATAACATAACCTAACTTAACCTAACTAACCCGGACCAAACCAGACTTCATTTAATATAACCCGACCTAACCTAGCATAACTTAAATTTTGCAATTTTTATTACTGAATGGGTTTAAGATCAACTTGTTGAACATTAACTAACGAAATCACCTATAAAAATGGGCACAGATTTTTTTTTTAGGGGTCTTCGTTTCTTATTCATTTATGTGGATAACTCTTCTCCATCCTTCCTTCATGTGTGGTGTTCATGTCTTAGCTTGACCGAGCAGTCAAGAAAGAGAAGTTTGGCCTCAGGTCGGGCTGCCAGGGTAGAACGTCACTGGTAGTGGAACTTGGAAGGGGAAAGAAGATGGGGCCAAAAGGAAGTGAGTAGAGGCAGGTAGCACCCAGGAAGTGATAGCAACATAGGAAGTGCCAATTACAAACTCTGGCTGGTTGCCAAACAAGCTAATATGTTTTGTCCGTGACTATCTCTCCAGCAGTAATCGTCTTGACGAGTGAACTGAGGATCTTCATTTGCCTTTTATTTTTACGTCTTGCGAAGCAAGGCGGAGGGTAAGCATTCACGGGCGTGACTTGAATGATAGCTCGGTACAAGACGTGAAGTTTGTTTCAAAAAAGACTCTCTTTAAATACTCTCCTCGAAAGGCTACTAACCCAGGATAACCCAAGAAAGCCAAACAGTGTGGCTTATATCCGTTGGTTCCTTCTCATCGTCCTTAGGATACGACCCACAACTTTTACCTGCATATTTACTGCTAGGTGAAGAGTGGCAGGAGGTGTAGCTCAACTTACTGTAAGTTCCGTCTCACCTGATGATTAAACCCGGGTTCTTTGGTAGCAGCAGAAGCAGCGAAGAGTTATATGCGAGGATGATCAGTCCCTCAGCCTTGAAGAAAAGACTTCGAGGTGGTCAGCACCTCAGTTTTGATAAGTGTTCAGCGCCACAGCCTCTATCACGCTGAGAGCTCTCAAGAGAAGAGAGGAGGAGAGCCTGCAAGAGAGGAGGAGAGCTCCCAAGAGACGTGGGAGAGTTCGCATACCCAGTGGTGTTCTCCATCTTACCTGTTCCTGAAGCTGTGCTTGAAGTTTGCCTCCATCGCCTCATCACCCAGCTCGTTCCACTCTTTTTTTTCCCTGGGCTTCTAGTTAAAAAGTGTTTCCTCGTATCCTTCGTCGTCCGAGTTTTTGTTATTTGAAATCAAATAACCATGTCCTTGTCCACTAATTACTTTTTATTTTTTTTTCATTTCACCCCAGAGTTTCCTTCCCCTCAGTAGTGGGAGATCCAGTTCCTTGAGTTAATCCCAAGAGTACATTTTCTCTCGGCTCCGATAGGCTTTAAATCTTATTATTACGTACTCGATAACATGGTTCTGCGTACTCCATGGCTGTCTGATATTCTTGATACACGGAGTCATGTTCTTGATTCATTGTTTCATATTCTTGATTATAGTGTCATATATTTAATATATAGTGTCTTATTCTTCATAAATGGTGAAATGTTCTTGAAACATAGTGTCACGTTCATGATACATATTATCATATTCTTGATACAAAATGTCATATTCTCGATACACAGCGTCTCGAATGACTAAATGGGTAGTTAAAGGCAGTTCTCACGTTCGTAAGATTTCTGTTCGCCGTGAATGGTATGTGATTTTTTGTGTGTGACTCTGAAGATATGTTTTGTTATTCCCAGGTTTTTCTCCTGGTGTGAGGTGAAGAGGCATCCCTTCGTTTTCCTCTCACTGTATTCTTTCTCTCTCGGGTTTTCCTTCCTTGGCCTCCATTTTCATGATTTTAATTCCTTCATGCTGTTGACTTCCCAAAGTCACGTGTCAGAAGACCATTACCAAAATTTGAATATATTACATGTATATATATATATATATATATATATATATATATATATATATATATATATATATATATAAAATATTATATATATATATATATATATATATATATATATATATGTGTGTGTGTGTGTGTGTGTGACAATGTCCAACACAGATTAAACCCTGGGTGCATATCACCATGTGCGCTTGTCACGTACTTAGCTAAAGACGTAGAGAGAGAGAGAGAGAGAGAGAGAGAGAGAGAGAGAGAGAGAGAGAGAGAGAGAGAGAGAGAGAGAGAGAGAGAGAGAGAGAGAGAGAGAGAGAGAGAGCGAGTGCAACAGAGACTGAACACCTACCATCTGTGACCAGCGTGCGCCAGAGGGCCTTATTCCATGCCTGAAGCCACGGAGGCTTCAAGCATCTGTCACTTGTTGAGTCTCCGGCAACTGACAGAACCCAGTAGTGAGTACGAATAGAAAGGGCTTCTGTTTGGCGCTCAGCAGACGGAGGATCAAGCCTCCACCACGTCTTGCCCATTTGGTTATGGCGCTCAACATGAATTTATTTATTTATTTTACGCGCATTGTGTGGTATTGAGAATATAAGAAAAGCCTGCACGGACCGCTGATAGACCTATCACCAATTTACCCTCACTAATCTAGCCTTACTAATAGTTCACGAATTCTCTCCTACACAGATGCGGTCGTGCTGGGTCCTTTTCTTCCTCCTGCTGGGAATGGGGGCTCCCTTCCAGGCGGAGGCGGAAGTCTATACCTCCATCCACGACCTGACGGCAGTGTTCGCCCTGGAACGACAGGTCGTCACTGCCCTTACCAACTACCTGGGTGACATGGAGGCTAAGATTACCAGGATACGTAGGTGAGTAATGTATTGCTTTATTCGTGAGTAGTGCATTGCTTTATTCGTGAGTAGTGCAGTGTTTGACTGGTAGGGGAGTAGTGCATTGTTTCATTCGTGAGTAGTGCAGTGTTTGACTGGTAGGGGAGTAGTGCATTGCTTTATTCGTGAGTAGTGCATTGTTTGACTGGTAGGGGAGTAGTGCATTGCTTTATTCGTGAGTAGTGCATTGTTTGACTGGTAGGGGAGTAGTGCATTGCTTTATTCGTGAGTAGTGCAGTGTTTGACTGGTAGGTGAGTAGTGCATTGCTTATTCGTGAGTAGTGCAGTGTTTGACTGGTAGGGGAGTAGTGCATTGCTTTATTCGTGAGTAGTGCAGTGTTTGACTGGTAGGGGAGTAGTGCATTGCTTTATTCGTGAGTAGTGCATTGTTTGACTGGTAGGTGAGTAGTGCATTGTTTCATTCGTGAGTAGTGCAGTCCATCACTGGGTTTTCACTATTTTACAAGTGTTGGCACCCTTGAAGTGTGCAGTTGCTACTCAACTTTACATAAATGTGAAATTGAGGAAGCAAAAGCTAATTAAGAATTTCTGTCATATTCCACCACAAGAAATGTGTTATATTAAATCAGTCGGTCTGAGACCCGAGACTTGAGAAGGATGACGAGGACATCAAGAATTGCATCGTGGGATAAGAAGCAACAGATTCCTTGTAGTGATAGCTCAGTGGACGAGAGAAAAGGGATAGACGGCTGTGGGTAAGAAGGGGTAGATGGGATTGATGAATTATTATATTAAGTCGTAGTTTTTGGGTGGTTGATGCCTTGTTAACCTGGTGAGATGTTTTGTACATGAATCACTGTGGAGAAATTTGATGTGATATAAACTCTGGAGGCTTTTTCTTTTCCGATGCTGTAAGTTGTTTGTCTTTTAAACTGAAGGAACTTTCAGATTGATTTATTGATTGTGTGTGTGTGTGTGTGTGTGTGTGTGTGTGTGTGTGTGTGTGCGTGTGTGTGTGTGTGTGTCTGTGTGTGTGTATACTCACCTACATGTGATTGCAGGGGTTGAGATGTGATTCGACCCCTGCAATCAGCATATAGGTTAGTACACACGCACACAAACTTCACATCTCGGAAGTATTAACCTTCACATGTCTTCAAATAACCATCATTATTTCCACTATTATCCGTTACAGTAATAAACTGTTGGGTTTAACGAAGTCCAAATTGGATTATTTTCTGGGCATTATTGTCATCAAAGAGTTTTTATTTTCTGCGTGTGAAGGATCCTCGCTGTCCTTTTTGAGAAAGAAATTAAAGTTTTTTTCTTAAAATGATCAACTTTATATATATATATATATATATATATATATATATATATATATATAATATATATATATATATATATATAATATATATATATATATATATATATATATAAATATATATTATATATAATATATATATATATATATATAACAACATTGCGACTAACCAAGGAGTCGAACCCATGCTGCTTTGGCCCGCCTCATGGTGAGCGAAATACACATGACGCTCTAGTCCACGAGACCCACAATTCTCAAGAATGACGCATCCAGCCAAGCTAGGTGCTTTACCCGTAATCCGAGGACATACGGTGGTGTGGATGCCTCTGAGCTAATTTCATTCTACTTCCTGTTTGGTGTACTAGCCCAGCGAGCAGTATTTTATATTATTGTACCCAATACCACTCGTTCGTGGGTACAGTAATATAAAATACTGCTCGCTGGGCTAGTACACCAAGCAGGGAGTATTATGAAATTAGTTCAGAGGCATCCACACCACCGTATGTCCTCGGATACTGCTTGTGAACCAGGCTGCCCAGTTTATGTGGCTTAGATAGAAACAGAAAAGGTGGTGGAGTATGTGTCTACTTAGCTTACAACCCAAGACCTGATTTAAATAACAATAAACTGGAGATTCTATGGTTTGAAGTGCTGCTTCCCAAGACCAAACCCATCTTAGTAGGAACTAGTTACCGCCCTCCCACCCAGGACCAGTTCTTAGAAGACTTTTCCAGAGTCTTGTCCGGACTTGAAAACAATTGCGAGACAATAATACTGGGTGACTTTAATATCTGTTTTCAGCAGCAAAATAACGGGCTATGCAAAAGATATAAGCAAATTCTAGGTTTAAATAGTTACACTCAACTGATTAATATACCAACCCGGATCACACAGTTCTCAGCCACCCTAATTGACCACATACTTTGTAACCGCTCTGAGAACATTAGTCAGTCAGGCGTCATTACCACAGGCCTTAGTGATCATTTCATCATTTACTGCACCAGGAAAATCATTAGGGATAGGATAGGCCTACAAAGGACAATAAAAATGAGGTCAACTAAAACTACTTAAATAAACACTGGTAAAAGGCAAAAACAATTGTGACGGGCAGAGATAAAAATTTGCGGACGAAACGATGCCGGGGAAAAAAATTCAAAACAAGTTCACTACCATCCTTGATATATTGCACCATTAAAGAGGTGGGATTAAACAAAGAAAGAACCCGGTGATACTGGATATTAGATAATAGAAATTCAGAACCAGCTGCTAAAAAGATTTAAAGCAAACAGACGGGATTTTGCGGGCACTAAATGAATTCCAAAGGGTGAGGAACAAGTGCAGAGTTTAAAAAAGGAAAAAGGGCAAAGCATACGCTAAAAAATTGAAGGTAAAAGCATAACCCCAAAAGCTCTGCAAAACAAAAACTTTGGGGGTATAGCCATAAGCCATAGATGGGTCAAACATAGTACCTTATCGATAATGAGTATCCCACAAAATCTAGGTGGAAAATTTGTTTTAAATTTCCCCTACACACATCTGTTCCCCAAACACTAGAATAAACTACCACGCATCAAATCCCTTTTAACACGCCCTTTATATTTTCAAACTACTATACCAAAAAAGGGGTAACCCCCAAACGTTGTCAACTAAAAAGTGTATCTCATGACTTTATTCAAAAAGAACTAAGCAGGTTAAACCAAACTAAGAGCACAGGCCCGATAACATCCCTCTAAGTTCCTAAGAATGGTGCTTCGAACTTCAATCCCTTTTTGCTCACATAAAAAATTTATCAGAGTAAAACAACTGAAGCTAAATCATTTTTTTAAAATTGCCACAAACATGTCCAAATATTTTACTGAAATTTTGTAAAGGGTTTGGGAACCCAAACAATCATAGAACTGGGGGAGAAGAGCACAACTTGAGTACCCACAGTATTGGCCAGGCTTCAAACCCCTTTTTTTACAGCAAAAAGGGAAGGGACGATTACCCGCACATGTAAAAAGCAGTCATAGCATGAACCAGTTTAGAAAAATGCCAAAAGGTGTCTGATGAATGTACTACAGAAAGGGGGGGAATGATTTTCTATTTTTTTGCTAAAAAAACGTGTAAATTTTTACCTTTTTCCCCAGTAATGAACCCCCCTGTAGAAAATAGTCTTAAGACCCCCGTGTATTAAAATCTTTTTAGTTGAAAAACATGTTACTTTATTTTAGAATAATAAGAAAATTTTAAACCTTTAATTTTAATAATAAGGGAAAAGGACCCCAATGGAAAAAAGTCACTCTTTCGACTTTTTGGGGTTTTCCCGGGTTCTTACAATATACTGCAAGATGATAATTCTAGTAACCGATTTGGTAACCTGAATAAACTTTCTTTTGTGGGCCCAGTGGATAAGAGCGCTGCCTGGGAACTTTCGTCCCAGTACAGTATCGAGTCCCCTGCTGAACGCGTTCTTCCCCTCTCTCTCTCTCCCTCTCTCTAATAAATATATATATATAAAATATATATATATAAATATATAAAAATTTTATATATATGGTACGCGCCCCATCTCTGAGGAGCTGGATGAGTTTTCGCAAATTTTAAAACAGTGAAAACACAAACAAAATGACTGGACTGGGGGGGAGCACCCTGAGGGGGTTTAAATGGTGATGGTGGTAGTAGTAGTGGGGTAAGGCGGTGGGATAGTAGTGTTTTTTGACTGTGGGGGTGGTAGAAGAAAAGTTAGTTGGGTTTATTTTTTCTCGGTTACGGAAGGAATTCCTCACACCTTTTGCTGTGATGAGACTGTAAGCTGATCAATGGGTTTAGTGAATTTACGCAAAGCAAATAGTGACAGATGACAGACCAAATGGACACAGGGAGTGACGAAGAGAAAGGGGAGAGAGAGAGAGAGAGAGAGAGAGAGAGAGAGAGAGAGAGAGGAGAGAGAGGAGGAGAAAAGAGAGAGAGAGAGAGAGAGAAAAGAGAGAGAGAGAGAGAGAGAGAGAGAGAGAGAGAGAGAGAGAGAGACTGTTAAAACATAACTGCTTTCTAAATAGTGGTGTTTAATATGCAAGTATTTGTGGATAATTAAGTTTAAATTGGTATTCGAAGTTCTCTAAGGAGGAGAGTGAAGCATTTAGTGGAGCATTAGTGCTTCCAGGCCACCTGTTACACACACACACACACACACACACACACACACACACACACACACACACACACACACACACACACACACACACAACATTGGACATAGAAATGGTGGACATTCACAAACATTTTAGTCTTGAAAGTATCAAGGAAGATAGACACAAATAAACGAGTGAACTTACGTAGATGAACTACAGAGATGTCAGAACACTGTGGTAAACTACTGCATTACCGTTAATTTTTACTCTTCTTCGTTTTTCTTCTTCTTTTCTTCTTTTTGTAATTATTATTATTATTATTATTATTATTATTATTATTATTATTATTATTATTATTATTATTATTATTATTATTATTTTTATAATTTTTTATTATTATTATTATTATTATTATTATTATTATTATTATTATTATTTATTATTATTATTGTTATTATTATTATTATTATTGTTATATTAATTATTGTTATTATTATTATTAATTATTATTATTATTATTTTTTATTATTATATTATTTTTATTATTATTATTATTATTATTATTATTATTATTATTATTA